CCACACTTTTACTGAAAGTAACAATAAAACTGGACAGAATTTATATTAATATTGGTAACACTTTACAATAAGGTTCATTAGTTAATGAACTAAGAATGAACAATAGTTTTTCAGCATTTACTAATCTTAGTCCATGTTATTTTCAACATTTACTAATGCATTATTAAAATCAACAGTTGTGCTTGTTAACGGTTAATGCACTCTGAATTTGTAACGGGGTTGTTCTAGTTGGGGATCAAACCCAGGTATCTCACATTCAAAGTTACTGAGTTTACTGACTGAGGTAACTCCCCAATTAAAGAATCCAAGAGCAGAGGTAGCAAAAAACAGGGAGTCATTGATCTCCAGCAAAAGGCAATCTTTACTGAAGAAAAGTGCAACAAAAACAAAAAAAGCAGAGCTTCTAAAAACAGAGAAAAGCAAAGCAGAAACTAGAGTCAAAGAACTTCAACAAAACAGACTTAACTTTCAGCAGGCAACTGGTAACATAGGCTCAAGACTGAACAATAAAGCATGACCTAACCCACTTATATAGGGCTAAACACAGGTGTCTCACATCAGGCTTAATGAATGTTAGTAATCAGCAGGAACCTGGAGAGAGGCGCCACCTGTTGACCAGGAGGTAAATTAATAGTCCAGTGGAGAGTTCTTACAGAATTAGCATGAACTAACAGTGAATAACTGTATTCTCATTAACTAACATTAAGAAAGATTAATACATACTGTAATAAATGTATTGTTCATTGTCCGTTCATGATAGTTTATACATTAACTAACATTAACTGATGGAACCTTATTGAAAAGTGTTACCTTAATATTAAATATCATTATATTATTTTTATGTAACAGAATCAGATATAAGTTGTTGTTGTTGTTTTTTTTACTAATTATCCAAATAATGTATAGTCCTACAAAGCTATTATTATCCGAGCATATGAGCAGAGCATAGCATAGCAGAGCATAGCGTCACTGAAGGTAGCAGTATTTTACCAGTGTTGCCCAGTACAACTGAACTAGCCTACACCATGTTACAGCACAGTAGCGCTACTGCAAACCGGAACAAGTAGGCCTATACTGCATAGAAATTTCCTGTCAGCACGTTATTTGAGTGGACTTTGCTTTTCCGATGAGCATGAGCGGTACACGAGCGGAACGCACATTCATAGATCAGAATATTGAGCGGAGCGTCAAACCGTGCAGTGACAAGGAGAGTGAAACATGCGTGCGGAACACTGCTGGGCGGGGCGCGACGCGACGCGGTGCGCCATATATATTATTATTATTATTATTATTATTATTATTATTATTATTATTATATGTAGCCTATATTTTCGGTGCATCCCTACTTACATCCTCTCCTTGTTTACAAATCCGAACTAAGTCCATACATCCGATTTAAACACAGACGGGGCTTTCCTGATAACTTTCCGCAATGCCGCCCTCTTTATTTTACTAACTTACTTATGCTGAAGGTGACCCAGCTGACCTCACCAGAAAAAAACTCAACACCACCATCTAGTGGATTGTAAAGAAATAGATTGTATTATTCTACCAAATAGTATAATAAAAGATCAATACTTGGCGTCCGTGTATCGATGCAGTATTGCCGCGGAAAATATCACGATACTATGCTGTATCGATTTTTTTTCCCCCACTCCTACTGGGTGGTGTGTTCACATCCAACCCGATGCTCACGGCTGCCTGGGCAAGCATGGCCGTCAGCTCTGGGTCCGATTCGGCAGAAGCCACAACACCCGAGGGGGCAGCCCGGCCGAATCTTCATCCTCAGAGGACGATAGCCCATCCCCTGATCCTGCTGTTGACATCTGATCCTCTAGCGGAGCCCCGAATGAAATGCTGGGACAGCCAAATGCTGAGTGAGGAGTGGGAGGTCTGTGGGGGCTGGCTCAGCAGATTTGCTTCCACTTTAATCCTCAAATCTCCCAGAGCACTAACCGACGAAGCCCTGTGCTGTGCAGAGGAACCAGGATGGATAGTGACAGAGGGGTCTCCTCCTTTCCTCAGAAAGGAGAGATGCGATCGCAGCAATGGGAGTGGAGGAGTCGGCACCGTTTGCCGGGAGGCCAGAGCCTACTACCGTCCGCCATGTTTAGGGAGGAGCAGGGAAAGGGGGACTCACTGCCAGCTACCCTCAATAAGAGGAGCCATCGCCGTCCGCAAGGAGGTGGAGGAGCATTGAGCAGTCCACCATAGGATGTCCAGTGCCATCGCATGGCACCACGAGTGAGAGCGTCTCAGCTGGTTGAGGACCAAGCGGCAGTGTGTCCGGGAACCTGGCAGATAATTCCTCTCTTGTCTCGGTCTCTCCTCGTCCTTCCGTCTCCTTTTCTCTCGCCTTGTCTGTCCTTAACCCCAGGTACACCATGGCCGCCGTGATTGGCTCCCCTGGAGGGGGGTGAGGGAGCTCTGCCCGCATTCCTTTGAGCAATAAAACCAGTGTTATCAGATGATTTGTCTTTGGTAGCCATGGAACCAGAGGCCTGTTCCCCTTTTTGAGGTGTTAGTTGCATTTCAGGGGAAGGGTCTATAAACTCTCATAGTTGGCTGGGTGAGGGGTGTTAGGGATTATTTGTTGAATATAACAAATAATTGTGTGTCTGATTGGTCAAAACGCTAAACTAAGAAAGGTAATCTGAGTTATGGTTCATTCTGATGATTTAGTAAGCAACATGTATTGTCTTGTTATTTAAAGGAAAGTGCAGTCATGGTGGAATTCTGGACAGTAGTCGTCACCAAGGAGCAGAGGGAGGAATCAACAAGGACAGCACATCTCCACTGTTCTCCCCTCATCACTACCTCCATAAAGAAGCTGCCCATCTGGCAACCACAGCAACCCTCAGAGTGCTCCAAGACCTCCGCAATGAGGTGGGGCTCAAAAGCTTCCTCAGGTCAGAGGTCAATTGAATTTAACATAAATACTGTTTACCGTGATCTATGAGGAAAGAGTGGAATTCCTGTTTTACTTTAGACACCATGTGTGACAGCTTTTGTTAATATTGAGTGCATGAGAAAAGGTTGGCATGTGCAGTTTTTACCTTCCTGTTTCCAGTTTTATTGAAATAGAAAGTTTGGGTGGGCTTATTCATTATTTGCTAATTCAGTAATTGAAACAGATTTATCCAATGATGAAAAACGCATAAGTGATGAAGTCTGTGGAAACCTGTAGGCTCTTCAGTGTCCATCAGCCCCCAGCATTGGTCTTTGTCATGGACACCACTGGCAGCATGTTTGAGGAGATCACAGCTGCCCGACTCCGAGCCCTCTCCATAATACAGGCCCGTGAAAAGAGCCAACGCACTAGTCTGCCTGGCACCTACATTCTGGTGCCTTTTCATGACCCTGGTTAGAATTATATCTTATGCCTATTACACTGAACAAAACATTTTGTCACAAAATGTAAAAATCCTGTTTTCATCTCGAAGATTTTCTTTGAAGCAAAATTAGATGAATATAGATGTTTATTTAGTTATATGTTAAGCACACTGGTGATAATCTCAGGTTTTGGGCCGGTGATGGAGACGGATGACCCTCATCAGTTCATGCAATACATGGAGGATCTGACGGCTCTTGGAGGTGGGGATGAGCCAGAGATGTGTCTCTCTGCCCTTCAGGTAACCATAATAAAAATCTTAGGGGTGAGCAACCCCTAATAAACACTTACCACCACTAACATTTTCAAATTAAATAATTTCCTCTAAATTCTATGGTCAAATGGCACTATTTCCTGAGATCACATTTTTAATATGCTTTAGAGCAAGCGATATCAGTGTCATGGGTTTAAATCCCATGGAGCACATATGGTTGAGATAAATAAATTCAACAAATGACAATGATGTACATTCTAAGTGTGTCTCTATCTGTGTGTCTTATTTGTTTGAATGTGTCTGTGGGTCAGTTGGCTCTGACCCATAGCCCTCCGCTGTCAGAGATATTTGTATTCACAGACGCCTCTCCTAAAGACCGTCATCTGCAGAGTGCAGTCCAGGCACTCATACTAGAGAAGCAAACAAAGGTAAACCACAAACACACACTACTGAAGCATTCAATAATGAAAAGTATTATCACATTTTTAATATGCTTTAGAGCAAGCGATATCAGTGTCATGGGTTTAAATCCCATGGAGCACATATGGTTGAGATAAATAAATTCAACAAATGACAATGATGTACATTCTAAGTGTGTCTCTATCTGTGTGTCTTATTTGTTTGAATGTGTCTGTGGGTCAGTTGGCTCTGACCCATAGCCCTCCGCTGTCAGAGATATTTGTATTCACAGACGCCTCTCCTAAAGACCGTCATCTGCAGAGTGCAGTCCAGGCACTCATACTAGAGAAGAAAACAAAGGTAAACCACAAACACACACTACTGAAGCATTCAATAATGAAAAGTATGTATAGAAATAGTTTGATCTAATTAAACATGGACTGTAAATATGTATTTAGGCCTATTCTGTATTTTTATACTTATTAGGGTATCGTGTTGGTAGCTTAGCAGCATGCTAACATCAAATTGTATTGACTCTCCTGGGAAGAGAGCTATATACAGTGGGGAAAAAAGTATTTAGTCAGCCACCAATTGTGCAAGTTCTCCCACTTAAAAAGATGAGAGAGGCCTGTAATTTTCATCATTTGGATTTTTTTTCTCATTTTGTCTCTCATAGTTGAGGTATACCTATGATGAAAATTACAGGCCTCTCTCATCTTTTTAAGTGGGAGAACTTGCACAATTGGTGGCTGACTAAATACTTTTTTGCCCCACTGTATGTGATACATATTGTAGATCAGTCATTTATGATGTTCCATTTCAGCTATGATGCTGCCTCAGAAAGCAGTTGCCGGTAACACTTTATAATAACTTTTATTTATAAATAATTAACAAACATTATATAATGCTTTATGCTTAACAGATCATTAGTTAATATATATTCACATAGCTAGAAATATGAGATAATGTTCTTGTTAATGTTTACTAATGAACTTACTAAACATTACCTAATGATTAACATATGATAATTTAATATAAATTGAAATGCTTACAAATGTCAGTAAACTTTCAGTTCACATGATCTTCATTTGTTGGTCTTTGTTTGTTGTGTAGACCTCTATTTATACATCTTAACAAATAATCTATTAATTATTTGCTCATGTTTTTGCAGTACCCAATCTAAAGTGGAAACTATTCATCATTTGCAAATGTTTTACTAATCATTAATACCTTTATGAACATCTCAATGCCCCGAAAGACCTGAATTTATTCACACACCTTTACTAATAATTTATTAATCATTTGTTCATGTTTTTGCAGTAGCCAATCTAAAGTTGAAACTATTCATATTTTGTAAAGGTTTATAAATGATTACTAATCATTTAGTATATTTATGGGCATTGGACTTTTAGCTAATGTAACAAGGTTTGTGTAAAGGGTGGCTGGTTAAGTTTAGCTAAATGCTTGCTAAAGACATAACTATGGAAGCCCGTTTCCGTATGGGGGTAGAATTGTTGCTTAATTCCAAATAAATAGATTATGATCCACAAATAAATATAATGAGATCCACAAATAAATCTTAAAGTTTCACAAACACGAATTAAATTCACAAATAAATAAAATGAGATTTGCAAATAAAAAACATATTCACAAATATATATTTATGTCACAACCACAACTTTGCCTGGCATTTATTTGTGAATCTCGTCCTGTGCATTTGTAGATAGCTGCACGCATTTGTGAATCGCGTCCTGTGCATTTGCGAATTGTGAAACATTTCTTGCGTCAAGACGTGCTGACGATCCACAAATACGTGGACTCCACCCACCTTCTACTCAAGCCAATCAGATAACAGCCACATTCGCTGACCAATCGTAGCACGATCTCGCTATAGCCAATCACGTTTTGCTTTACAATCAGGGCGGTCTCGTCCTGAGATAATGTAATTCATCTGCATTGACTCAAATAGGT